GATTACAGGCTTGAGCCACCGCGCCCGGCCTAAGACATACTTTTACTTTGAAATACTTTAAGCAAACAGTTAAAAAGAATCCATCAAAATAACCTGTTAAAATCTTAACATTCTGATGCTGCATCCATTTTTAAAAAGAAAGAAAACACAACTGAAGCTCCCAAGTACCCTCCCCAAATCCACCATCTTCTCCTGCCTTAGGACGGCAGAATGGTGACTTGCACACATCATTCTAATACAAGATTTTATGCTCAATTCATATTAATTGAATCCACAGAAAATAGGTTACTGTGCAAAACAATGACACTTTCTATATGTCCACAATGCTTACATGCCAGACACTAAGCATTTCACATGCATTACTTCATTGACTGCCTCCCACCCCGAATCACACTGTGAGACTGCCACTACTATCCCATTTGACAGAAAAAGTGAAAAACAAATAAGTTGAAGTAATGTGCCCACAGATACACAGTATCTTAACTTTACACAAACAGTATCTTATATGTAGCTTCTGCAAATTTCTCTGCATAATTTTTCATATATCTCTGTCGAGACATAACTCTTTCATATCCACTTTCCAAGGACCAAAAAGAACCCATTTCTTTATCCATTCTTCTGCTGATGAAATGCAGGCTTTCCCCAACCTTGCTACCTAAACAATACTTCCATGAACAGTCTTAAACTCATTTCTCTGTTCACATGGTGCTCCTCGAGGATGCATCCAGGAGTACAGCTGCTGAGTGGTGAAGTGCACACAACCTTACAAGATTTTGCAAATTGTCCGATACAGTATTTCTCACAATTTCTACTTCCAAAACAGTGTGAATTATTGTTGTTCCACACACTTACACACACTTGGACTTTCAAAAATGTTCCATCTTGATGAGTGTGAGATGGTCTGTTTTATTTTACATTTCCCATGCTTTGTCCTCTGCACATGCCTCTGGTCGGACAGTCTTGGTCAGCCTTAAGCTCGGGTGGAGCAGCAGGGGTGGAGCAGACCTCATTAAACAGGTGACAGAAAGACCTTCAGATACCCACTGCAGCCCATCTGGCTCTCCTCAACCCCAACTTCAGTTCCTCCAAGGGAAAGGAGAAAAGGTGGGTAAGGTTGGAAAGAACCTGAATATTCTCCAGGCCAGGATGAGATACAAGTTGGGACCTGGTGCTCAGACTACGGCAATGAGAGACTCAGCTGGAGCCATAAAGCTCAGAACCACCCACAGCCGGGTTCCTAACCAGCAGGCGTGGGCTTGTGGGCGGCTTCCAGTCAACATTTCATTCCACAGCTCCTTAAGAAAACCCCAACCCTGGCCCAGCCAAACTAAATTCAGTTCCAGATTCCCTAACAGGGGAAATTTTGTGCAAGATCTCTTTGCAGAAACTTGTGACCTAACGTGCCCATTGTTGCTTTGGTTGCCTGTGCTTATAAAACATTATGCGAGAAATCTTTGCCCAGTCCAATATCCTGGAGAGTTTTCCCAATGTCTTACTTCAGATTTGTATTTGAGGTCTCAGATTTGAATCTTTATTTTGATTTTTAAATTTTTTAAAAATAGAGACACTGCATTGCCCAGGTAGTCTAGAACTCCTGAGCTCAAGCGATTCTCCCATCTTGGTCTCCCAAAGTGCTGGGATTACAAGCGTGAGCAACTGTGCCTAGCCGAGATTGACATCTTTAATCCACTTTGATCTGATTTTTGTATAAGGTGAGAAATAGAGGCCTAGTCTCAGTTCTTCTGCATATGGATATCCAGTTTTCCCAGCACCACTTATTGATGAGACTGTCATTACCCCATAGTATGTACTCGGCACCTTCGGAGAAAATGAGGTTACTGAAGATGTGTGAATCGGTTTCTGGGTTTACTATTCTGTTCCATTGGTCTACATGTCTGTTTTTAATCACAGCGCCATGCTGTGAGGGTTACTATAGCTGTAGAGGGTGATTTACAATCAAGAATGTAATTCTTCCAGGTTTGCTTGTTTCTTGCTCAGGATAGCTTTGGATATTCTGAGTCTTTTGTAGTTGCCTATAAATTGTAGGATTCATTGTTTATTTCTATTTCTGTGAAGAATGTCATTGGTTTTTGCAGACTTGTAGAGGTACAACATTGGTGGTCTGAGATCAGACCTGGAGAAATTCTCTAGATTAGTGGACAGACACTCGCTTCTTCCCTTAGTTTCCAACAAATGAAGTCTGTCTCTCTGTGCTAGGCTGCCTGGAGCTGGGAGAGGAGTGATACAAGCACCCCTGTGGCCATGACCTCTGGGACAGCACTAGGTCTGAAGCCAGCACAGCACTGTGACTGCCCAAGACCCACTCTAACAACTACCCACTGCCACCTATGTCACTCAAGGCCCCAGGGCTCTACCATTAGCAGGTAGTGACTGCCAGCCAGGCCTCTGTCCTTCCCTTAAGCGCAGTGAGTTCCCCTGGTCCCTGGATAGGTTCAGAGGTGCCGCCTGAGAGTCAGGGGTGGGGTCATAAGCCTTAGACATCTACTGGTGTTCTGTTCTACCATGGCTGAGCTGGCACTGAATTCACCAGGCAAATCCCTTCCCACTCTTCCCTCCCTTTTCCCAAGGCACAGTAGTCTGTCCCCACATACAACATCATTGCAGTCCCAAGAGGATTAGTGCCAGGTCACCGCTGATGTTCACTTAATGCCCAGGGGCTCTCAGTCAGCTTGTGGTGAGTGCTGCCTGCCCTGGAACTCACTTTTCAGGGCAGTGGGCTCTCCTCTGGCCCAGGTAGGTCCAGAGATGCCATCGACGGGCCAAGGCCTGGATCAGGGATCCCACAGCTCACTTGGTGCTCTTCTCACTGTAGTTGAGCTGGTATCTAAGCTCAAGAAAACTCCTCTTCACTCTTCCCTCAGCATTTATCAAGCAAAGGGAGTCTCTCCTCATGGCCAGCACATGGCTGGGGTGCACCAGAAGCCAACATGTCTCTCAATCTCAATCCAGGCCCATGGCATGTACTACCTGGTCACCACTGATGATTCCTCCAGGCCTGAGGGTGCTTTAATCAGAAAGTGCGGAATCCTGCTACTACTGAGTCCTTCCCTTTAAGGTAGTAGGTTCCCTCTGGCCCGGAGTCTGTCTAGAGATGTTATCCCGAAGCTGGGACCTGAAATGGAGGGGTCTTAAGACTCTGACCAGTGCCCTCTCCCGCTGTGGCTGAGCCAGTATCCGAGGTGCAAGACAAAGTCCTCTTTCCTCTCCTCAAGCGGAAGAAACAGGTCTTTGCCAGAGCTGCGAGCTGCACTGTCTAGGGATGGAGGAGGCGTGGGCAAGCACTGCCTAGCTGCCCCAGCTGCTGTCTCCCTGGGTCACCTGCCCCCAAACACACTCGCTCCAAGCGCAGCACGGCACTCGGACTTGCCTAAGAGTTGCAGTCCCTGTGACCTAGACAGACTTTCAGCTTATTAAGAACCCCAGAGTATTTTATCCCACAGCAGCCAGGCTTCCACAACTCAAGTCCAACCACAGGGATGAGCAATTACCCTACAACTGGGGCTAGTCTCAATGTTTTCTCCATGGGTGGCCATTGGGTGAGTTCAGTCTTGCTTTACTTTCTGCTATTAGAAGGCAGCACTGAGTTCAGGCAGAGCCCCACAGCTGCTGTGCTCATCCTCCCACAAGCATGTAGCCTCTCTCCTGGTAGGAGACAGGTTCACGGTGGTCGCATCGACAACTCAAGACTGCCTTTTCTATGCTGTTCAGTGCCTCTTTCAGTGATATGAAGTTAAAACCACGTAGTATGATCACTTACCTAATTTTCAGGTCTTATGGAGGAGGTTTTTTATTTAGATAGTTGCTAAATTTGTTATTCCTGTGGGGAGCACAATTGATAGAGACTTCTACTGAGCCATCATGCTCCACCTCTGTGACTACATACATTCTGAATGACAGTCTTATCTGGAGTAATAGGCAAACATAAAAACAAAGAAACAAAAAAAACGAAAAACTAAAACCTCTTGCCACTGCCTGAAGATCTTGATCTTCATATGCCTCATATGCTTCAATGTCATCAAGGGGTGTTGCTTCAGATTTTCCTGTGTCACCCACAAAGCCATTCTTTCTGTATGGTGGACACTGTGAAAGCCTCTGCTGGAAATGCCTCCCTGGCTCACCCTGCCAACCGCTCCAAGGCCCTTCCCTTTGCAGCACTCAAGAGGCCAGAGGGGAAGAAAGACCCATGAAGCTCCTGTCTCAGTATCATGTTGGTGCCAGCTGTGAGCAACTCCATGATTCAAGACTTCTTGCATTCTCACAGGTAACTCAGCACCCCGCTGCCCCAAACAGGTGCTGCTGTGGTTTCATGAGTCCCCTGGAACCTCCTGAGTGTGGTGAGCATTGGGTGATTCTCTAGCAATGTTTCTCAGACTGCCTGAGGGGAACACTGGAACTTCTAACTCATCAGTCCAGTGATGCAACACTCCTAATGGGGAGGGGACAGGGGCACAGGATCTGTGGCTATTCTGTATCTCAAGGTTTCTATAAAACAGATCTTCAGATAAAAGCAGGGGAACACCAGTGAAAGCAAATACACAATGTATGAGTCAGGGTGAAGCTATACTTCACAATTCAGAGGCCCTAGACTTGTCAATGGCCAACAATTAATTCAAAGGCCAGACATGTGCTCCTCACAGAGACAGGAACTTGCAGACAGCTTGTAAAAAGCCATAAGGATATTTACCGTACTATTGTATGTCCTGATAGTACACTGATAAGATATTTGCCAGAAACATTCACCAGAAAAATACTTTCCCATTTATGAGACAATTACAACAGCAATTTACCAAGACCTACCAATAAACAGTGAAAAATATGAACTGTTGCTCTAAAGCTGGGGAGAAAGAGGATGTGGTACTTATGCCCATTCTTATTATCTGCATCATGTAACCTTTAAAAATATTTCTTAAAGCATTTAAGTTTATGGGAGCAAATATTCAAAAGTGGTTAGAAGGTTCACAAAAACTATACAAACTCACATATCCTCAACTGTAAGGTTTTCAAAGAGCTCGCAGTAGTCATCAATGCATACAGCCTCTCCACTCCCAGCCTTGAGGAGAGTAAGAATCGCTCCTAAGATAATCCTCTTCCAGTTGGTTGGACAAACATCGATATCCGCATTACGCACAAGTCTTTTAATGTATACCTGCAAAACAGAGCACTGGCCTTTGATTTAGCTGTTTTAAGTGCTGTGGTAAGAATTCTTGTGAAAAACCAGAATACTCTGGTTTTGACCAGAGAGTAAGTGCCTTTTTTTTTTTTTTAAATTTATTTATTTAACTTTAGGTGCATACTTTTATTCTTACATTCTACAGAGACTGTTTCATGAGGTTAAGCAAGGGGCCATATCACAATCACAGCCCAAATATTTCTACTACCTACTCTGCCCAGCATGGGGAGATTAACACATCCAAGGAAAAATGAATTGAGGGCAGTAGGTCTCAAGTCACAACATACATCAGAATTGCCTAGGGTACACTCTGGGACTCAGCTTAGACCTACAATGGCATCCATTCCTGCCCATCAACTGGATGGTTTTGTTACTACTCCCCATTCCAAGCCCTCCACATGCCCTGGTTGTGTGTGCACTGTATGTGCATGTGTGCACTGAAGTGTGGGGGGAGAAATCAGAACTCCCTCCTTCTGCCTTTAATAGCAATTGTTCTGTAATGAGAAGAGAAATGACAACAGTTTAAGCCATAAAGATTCGACTCAAATGTGTGTATCTGCTTTCATAAGTTTCTCTTAAAGTTCTGAGATAATTTCAGAAACCTACTTTCATTTAAAAACAGGACCATACTACCCTGTTTACAAGGTCAATTTTTTTTTTTTTTTAATGGAGTCTTGCTGTTGCCTAGGCTGGAGTACAGTGGCTTGATTTTGGGTCGCTGCAACCTCTGCCTCCTGAGTTCAAGCAATTCTCCTGCCTCAGTCTCCCAAGTAGCTGGGACTACAAGGGTGTGCTACCATGCCTGGCTAATTTTTGTATTTTTGGTAGAGACAGGGTTTAACCATGTTGGCCAGGCTGCTCTAAAAGACAAAGTGCTAAAGATGCTTTATAAACAGAAAATATCTTACCAAAATTATGATTGCTAAGTCAGCTCTTAGCATTTTGGCATTAAACAGAGTACGAACAAATCTGAAAATCACTTTGTGTCTAGGATCATACGTAAAATACTCCTCTGGAAACTGTTCTTGCTGAAAGAAGAAAGGAGGCAATGTCAGTATCCATTGAAGAAAAAAGCTTGAAGTGCTCTCTTAAGACAGCAGTGTTCACATTTGTGCCGATGAATCATTTACAATAATTTTGATTGGTGAGATGTCTTTCAGGTTTTACAATATTAGCAGTGGGATCTTAAAATACCGTAATGATTTAATACTCATCAACATTCACTTAAAAATCATATGAGCTAAAGTTCAGAATTTTTTTTTTCTTTTTTACTCTTTGTCCCACGTAATTCTATTCAAATATAAGCTACTCTTTGGCTTTAGTGTCTTACTGATAGTATGTCATTCTCTGTAATAAATTTTGAGAAAATACAGTTTCCTGTAAACATTAGGCTCTAAGCCTATGCTGTTAAATACAATAGTCACTAGCCACATGTGGCTATTATGTACCTGAGGAAGTACATTTAAAAATTTTTATACCATATAAGTTGATTTAAACAAATTATTTTTAACTTTCTTCACAAAAATCACGCTTCTGTGTTAAAAGGATTTACACATACTCATATTGCTTGATGCTACGGACAACTGTCTTTTAAAAGATACATTTTCTGTTATTTGGATAGTATATTTACTCATACTAGCTCACTAATTAAACAGAGCTGCAGATCAGTTCTTGTTCCAGCACATTCTTTTTATAACAGTTAAGATGACTAAATGCAATACAAAATGGGGAAGATTTAAAGACGGCTTTGATTTCAGCATAAAACAAATACAAGTCTATGATAAAAATACAACCTCAATAAAGTGTCACTTACTGTCAGCGGGTACAACCGTTCATCAAATATGTCCAAAGTTCTATCTCCATCTCTATAAAATAAGAATGTGCATTACTTCAAAAACTGTTAATATCTTAGTATAATATCTGTTTAGTATAATAATGCCTCCTGTGTGCTTTGGTGTCTACTTCAACACAGCAAACAGTTTTTACAGATTCTTCTCCTGGATCCTGACCTGCAGAGGGTTTCCTGACCTCTTCTTCCTCTGCACATGTGTCCTGTATTGTGAAGTCTTTTTCACAATAACCATTACGATCTGCCTATAGGTACTGACCCTCCCTAACAGGCAATGACAATAAACCAAACACATTTTCACTCTTCTTAACCACACATTGAAACACAAGAATGTTTTACAAAGCAGTAGCGGTGGGCAATAAAGTCTTTAGAACTTTAATAAATGTAAATGTGATTCAGATTTCCTAGCTTCCTTTCTTTTTAGTCCTCCGTAGTATATACTCTCATGATGTATTTATTTTCTGTTGTTTGAATGGAAAACTCATCTGCTTTTTTATTTTAAAAGAGGCCAGTCTTTGATAAACTTTAAACTTTGTGAAACTAATGCATTGTGCCGGTGTGATAAACCAGTCGTTCTCCAAATATGCTCTGTGGATCTCTGGGGATCCCCAAGACCCTTTTCCCGAAGACCTAAGAGGTCAACAATGTTCTTTTTTTTTTTTTTTTTTCTTTTTTTCCGAGAAGGAGTTTCACTCTTGCTGCCTAGGCTGGAGTGCAATGGTGTAATCTGGGCTCACTGCAACCTCCACCTCCTAGGTTCAGACGATCCTCCTGCCTCAGTCTCCCAAGCATCTGGGATTACAGGCATTACAGGCACCTACCACCATGCCCAGCTAATTTTTGTTTTTAGTAGAAATGGGGTTTCACCATGCTGGCAAGGCTGGTCTTGAACTCCTGACCTCAGGTGATCCACCTGCCTGGCTTCCCAAAGTGCTAGGATTACAGGCTGGAGCCACTGTGCCTGCTGAACACTGTTCTGATAATTACAGTAATTCAATCTGAGAAAGCTAATAAAAAAATTTTAACAAATTAAGGAATACAAAGACATTGACTGCTTTTTCATAGACACTTGCCATAACTGTATAAAAGCAAAAGTCGATAAAACTGCTGGTTTCTCAGCCTAATCAAGAGAGTGGTAAAAATCACACTGTAGTAATTCTGTTGTTTATTGTCCCTTACAGTTAAAAAAGATAGCATGAAGTACTTAAGAATGTTTTTGTTGAGGCAGTAAAAATTAATGGTGTTACTAAATCTTGACATGTGTCTTTAATATTCTGAATCAGTGGAAAGTTAATAAGAAGTGCTTCTGCTAACTGTGATATGGCTGTACTTTTTAAAAATTCATGATTTAATTGTGAGCTGAACAATCACTTTTTTCACAGAACATCATTTTCATTTAAAAGTAAGACCGGGCCAGTGCAATGGGTCATGCTTGTAAAATCCCAGCACTTCGGGAGGCCAAAGCAGGCAGATCACTTGGGCCCCTTCACAAGTTTGAGACCAGCCTGGGCAACATGGGGAAACTCTGTCTCTACCAAAAACACAGAAAAATTAGCTTGGCATGGTGCCACATATCTGTGGTCCCAGCTACACAGAAGCCTGAGGTGAGAGGATTGCTTGAGCTGAGATCATGCCAGTGTACTACAGCCAAGTGATAGAAACTCGGTCTAAAAAAAAAAATACAACTATCATTCTCAAAAGTAAATGAGGTGAGGTTGTCACTTCAGGAAAATAAGCATTTGTTCCCAATGGTAAAATTTAAGCTTTCCTGAGGACTTTGAAAAAACTTGTTTCTTCTCCTGTAGGTTTGACAGCTTTTCAATACTTAAAGACATTTTAAAGTAAGATTGGTGGTTAAACTAAAAGTGATTTTTGACAAAATAAAACATAAACCAATATATTCCAAATAACTAATGTGTAATATTACAAATGCAAATAAGGGGGAAAAGATAGATTTACAAGACAGATTAGTGAGTACTGATGGAATAAATTTATTAATATGTAAAATGTCACTGTAACTAATTTAAGAAAGTAGCACTTGTGAAGTTTTCACTCATTATTGTAGCGCAACTGTCTCAAGGCTTTAAAAATGCACCTTTTACCAACTACATATTTGCATGAGATTAGGTCATGTTATTGCTTCTTTTTTTTTTTTTTTAAACTACACACATGTACCACCACACACACCTATTTTTGTATTTTTAGTAGAGATGGGTTTCACCATGGCGGTCAGGCTGGTCTCAGTGTCCTGGCCTCAAGTGATCTGCCTGCCTTGGCCTCACCCAAAGTGCTGGGATTAGCGGTGACTGCTACCACACCTGGCCCTCTTATTGCTTCTTTAAAGCAAATTGCAAAGAAAGAGCTAGAGAATCCAGCTGTCTTCTATTAAGCACAACATTAGAGATTTTCCATAATATAAATACACCACATGCTTTTTACTCAATGTTTTGTTGTAGAAAAGGCATTTTTTCATTAAAAAACTATATTAACAATATTGTTCTCAAGGAATATTTTCTGCTATCACAACCTGGATCATGGGTTGCCACTGACATCTAGTTGGTAGAGGTCATCAGTGCTGCTAAACTTTCTGCAATGCACAGGATGGTCTTTGTGACAAAGCGTTATCTAGCTCAAGATATCAACAGTAGTAGGGATGTGGAATATAAATTAAAAATAGATTTTGAAAAAAATCTCAATTTTATACTTCTACAATAGTATATATCAATATAATCAATATAAACACATACTCTTTGAGATTCCCAATCATTTAAGAATTAAAAGAGTCTTAAGGACCAAAAAAACACAAATAATTTGCTTGGATATTTAATAAGGTTCAATACAGCTCATGATATCTAGAGCTGTGACCTAGAGAGCTTGATAGCGTAATTAGCCAGAATAACAAGATAGGTTTTTAAAAAGCTCACCTGTGCCGGATAAGATAATATATTGCCATGGCCACACTGTGGAAGGAAAAACATTCATTAACAATAGATGTTATCATTTGTTAGGCCTGAAGACATTTTTAAAAAAGGGTGCAGAGAAAACTCTCCTAGCAGCCCAGAAATTAAAATCTTCTAGGTCAGAACAGTACCATAAGGGCATGTTTTCATTTCTTGGCTTTTAGCAAAAATATGAGAACAAAAATGCAAGGCAATACGCTGTTAGAAGACATGTTTCTGTTGATTATAATATATAAATAATAACGTATTTCCCTGTTACATGTTCTTCTATCCACAAAACCTTTGGTCACATGCAATTTATTTTATGTGTTTGTTTATCGTTTGACCGAGAGTTTTGCTCTGTTGCCCAGAGTGATCTTGGCTCACCACAACCTCCACCTACCAGGTTCAAGCAATTCTCATGCCTCAGCCTCCCAAGTAGTTGAGACTACAGGTTTGTGCCACTACACCTGGCTAATTTTTGTATTTTTAGTAGGGACAGGGTTTTGCCATGATGGTTAGGTTGGTCTCAAACTCTTGGCCTCAAGTAATCTGCCTGTCTCAGCCTCCCAAAATGGTGGGATTACAGGCTTGAGCCACCACGCCCAGCCTCATGCATTTCATGTCTATGTGAACATGTGTTTACATTTCAGCCACACAGTAGTAGTTTCTTTTTTTAAGATGTTAGGCCCTGCATTTTAGTTCAGTTTACTATCTTCTACATACCCATTATTTAAATTATTTCCCAGCCGGGCGCGGTGGCTCAAGCCTGTAATCCCAGCACTTTGGGAGGCCGAGGCGGGTGGATCACAAGGTCGAGAGATCGAGACCAACCTGGTCAACATGGTGAAACCCCGTCTCTACTAAAAATACAAAAAATTAGCTGGGCATGGTGGCACGTGCCTATAATCCCAGCTACTCAGGAGGCTGAGGCAGGAGAATTGCCTGAACCCAGGGGGCGGAGGTTGCGGTGAGCCGAGATCGCGCCATTGCACTCCAGCCTGGGTAACAAGAGTGAAACTCCGTCTCAAAAAAAAAAAAAATTATTTCCCAAAAAATGCATAACCTAATGAAAGTGTGTTATAACAAATAAAATTATTTGAAATTCCTTTTGCATAATTATTAGAAAATATATTAGTAAACATAAGCTCACATGACATCAATGATAGGTAGAGCAATCCTAAAATAAGCAGTGCTAACAAGGCGGTGTAACATAACACAGTGTAATATGAATGGCAGGTATCTTCAATTACTTTAACTGAAATATTTATGAACAGATACAACTCTTCAGATATATGTAACTGTATTCTTAATTTATCTACTGATGCTGTGTATCAGAAAACAAGAGGTTTTCTTAGATAAGTTATGTGCTTCCATTTGCCCTCAGTGTCTAGAATGAGGCTCAGAATAACTGAGGGAAGGCAAATCTTATTTTAGTAATAGGTCTATACAATATTAGCACTTTTTAAAAAGCCTGTAATATTAGCATTTAAGATGGCTATGTCTATAGGGCTTCAAGCAGTTTTCACCTCTGAAATAATATGAAAATCACAGAATTTGAAGTTATATGCTGGAAAGGACCAATGTCTTTACATGACATTTAATCCAACATTCATTTTACAGGTGAGGAAAACAAATCTTAAAACTGACTTGCCCAAGGTCCCACCGAATAGGAGCAGTTTCTTGTTCTAAACCAAATTAGGTAGTGGCTCTCAAATTTTGCTGCACATTAAAATCACCTGAAAAGCTTTAATAACTGCCTCATTTTCAACATGAGACATTTTGATTTAATTAGCATTGGATATAACTTGGGGTATCAGGGTTGTTGTTAGGAGTTTCCCAGGTGATTTCAATGTGCAGCAAAATTTGAAATGATGGAGTTGGGGTTAAAATCAGAATCTTCTGGGATGCTTTTCTTCACATAAAGATGCTGTTTTCCTAAAAGGCTTCTCAGTGCCTGGAGATAGAGGGGAAGTGGAGATTGGAGGATACATGTATTTGCAGACATGTATTTGAAGAAAAACTTTGCAAAAGTGATCCCCATGAGTTCCACCTATCCCATTGATAACAGTGCTCTACTAACTTTTGATGAACAGTTTTCAAAATCTTTTCTTGAAATCAATTTCCCCTATTAATTTTCTCAGTAAACCTCTATTTCACCAATAGTGAATACACCAAATAATCTTTTCTCAGTCTTGCTGATGGCAAATTAAAATGAGAAAAAAGCATGAAATTTGTTTAAGTAAGATTAATCTTCAAAGCTACTTTGGAATTGTATGCTAACGCATCAAAATATTTTGAATTCAAAAGCAGCCAGGGACTCTAGCCAAAGTAGTTTGTTTGTTTGTTTTTGTGCTCAAAGATTTAAGAGATAGCCATGTGCAGTGGCTCACGCCTGCAACACCAGCACTTTTAGGGGCAGAGGCAGGTGGATCACATGAGGTCAAGAGTTCGAGACCAGCCTAACATGAAGAAACCCCATCTCTACTAAAAAAAAAAAAAAATTCAAAATCAGCTGGGCATGGCCGTGCATGCCTGTAATCTTAGCTGCTTGGGAGGCTGAGGCAGAAGAATTGCTTGAACCTGGGAGGTGGAGGTTGTGGTGAGCCAAGACGGTACTATTGCACTCTAATCTGGGCAACAGGACAAGAGGGAAACTCAGTCTCTAAAAGGAAAAAGAAAAATGATTGAAGAGACTTGGCTGACTACAGACATTTAGTGATTACTCAATAGGTCTTGAAGCTCAGCACCTGAGAGAGAATCTGATTCCAGTTTTTGCTGAAACACAATTTCATCTCAACTATTGTTATAAGGGAGAAAAATGACATTATCATGAGTGTAAACTTACCATTTTTAATTAAAGTAAAAGTTACTGGTAATTGAATTAGCTAAAAAGCCTAGTGCATTCAAAACAAAATTGTTTATAAGCTAGCTATTTATGTTTCTAGAATAAAAAGTAAAATTAAACATAAAGATATTAATATTCTACATAAGCACTTTCCAAACTGTGCTCTAAAAATCAACACTCATAACCCAAGGAGATAATAATAATGTACACTGCACGGTCCCTATGGTGGTGGTGGTGGCTGTTCCTTTTAAAATAAACTTCATCTCAGCGTGCTCTCAAAGTGCATCTTTGTGGCCCATGCAGTGCTCATGCACAATGGGAGAAATTCAAATGCAGATGCACTGTGGTGCCAGAGGAGAAAAAGCTGTTCCTTCTTCTAAGATTAATATCCAAAGCACTGCAGATTGACTTAGGCCTGCAACACACTGAAAAATTAATTTTTCACAAAAAACATTCAGTAAAAGGAACTTATCCTTCTCACTGCGTTCAACATTGTCTTAAGGCATAAAGGCATCAAATAAACAGCTTTACTTTTTCTAAAATGGCTTATTTGCTAACACATTTTTCCTTCCATCGTGAGGTATAAGATGCAAAGAGAAATTGATACTTAATATTTAGAATCTGGTATCAATAGATAGTTGACTCCAATTTCTTAAACTGATTGGAGAGGACAAAATGGCTGAAATAATTTTAGTCTGTCCCTTGGCAGTACAGTTGTACTCACGATTTTAGTGTCATTGTAAAATGAGGGCGGCTGGCTGTGCTGTCATCAATGAATATAGTTGAGCATGAACTATGTTTTTGAGTCAAATGCTCAGTAAATACCTGAAGAGGAAGGGAAGGAGAGGTAAACTTATCAAAGTATATATATTTTTTTCTTGGTTAAAACGTGAAATGACAAAGCACTAAGATATTTCTTACACTCCATGAACTGCCTGAGTGTGGTGTCATGTACACTCTACAGAAAAACCATGGGAGGCTCTTAACTTCTAGAGATGATACTGAAATATGGGTTATAAAATGCTGCTCTAAATATGGTACCTGTCATCAAACGTAACACGGATTTTAAGAATTCCCTTTATAAATAATGACAAAAGTTTAAAATAGAACTTCTTTGTTTTCTACCATGATACAAAGCTGCTGAGAATTTCTATTATTTATTTACTATGATAAAATGTATTAAATAATACTACTACAGGAGAAGTTTATTGCAATGAATACAAGACTAATGTATTTACTAAGTTACTAATCCTAAGTGTATTATTTCAGGCGATATTGTGACAAAACAGGTGTCTCAGATTCAGAGGTTGTGTGCCAGTGTTGCTAGGCCACCAACAAGTGAGGAAGCCACAGGTTTCTCTAGTCTTGTTTCCTTATGTGGAGAATAAAAAGATTATAACTTAAATATTCTCTCACACCCTGAAAACAGAGGACAACTTATAAAATGTAACTTTCACTTCATGTTTAAATAAGACTGTCAAGACATGACTCAAATGAAATTCTCAGAGAATATTTGCCATTCATTTCAAAAGTTGATTAATTTCATTCTATAAATCATCTGACCTGCACCTAGGCATTTTCCTGCTATAGCCCCGCTGTCTGCCTAGAATACTGCTTTTTTTCTCTCCTTATTTCAGCAAGCTTGATTCCATCTACCCTCTTGGATCTTTCAGCCAGCAGCCACATCAAAAAATGTTATTAAAAAATTTTTTTTTGAACACTAATAAGTCGAATTCACCACTGGTTACAGGATACTAGTTCTTGCAGAGTTATTCCCCTCATGAGAAAGTATGCCTCTCCATAAGAGCAAGGGAGGGCTCTTCCTCTTTTTACCTCCAGCTGCTGAGCATAGAATTTTGAGTAAATCAAAAACTTTGACAAGTGTTTAATAAATTAATTCAGTTATAATTTGAAAAATAAGTCTTACTACATTTAATTACACCAAAAACACCACTAACAGTTTACTGTTTATAGGTATTATTTAAGGCAGTCACAAAAGAAACAAATCATCTAACTTCAGTCAGCATAAATCAAGAGTGTGAAATTTTACTATCTGTAACAAGAAATAGATAAGGTTACATAGTAGTTTAATAACAAAAACTAGAAAATAATTATACCTAGTAATTTAGTAAGTCAAAACCAAAGGTTTACCATCAAAGGTCCAGTACCCACCGGATGCTGATGCCCACCGACTTCTTCCACTGTACCTGCTACCTTTCATTTAAACCCATTAAAAATACTAAAGTTGTTTTTCTTGTAGAGGTTTTTCACCTCCTCAGTTAGGTCTATTCCTAAGTATATTATTTTATTTTTGCAACTATTTTTATTTATTTATTTATTTATTTATTTTGAGACAGAGTTTTGCTCTTGTTACCCAGGCTGGAGTGCAATGGCGCCATCTCAGCTCACCACAACCTCCAGCTCCTGGATTCAAGCAATTCTCCTGCCTCAGCCTCCCGAGTAGCTGGGACTACAGGCGCACACCACCATGCCCAGCTAATTTTTGTATTTTTAGTAGAGACAGGGTTTCACCTTGTTGACCAGGATGGTCTTGATCTCTTGACCTTGTGATCCACCCACCTCGGCCTCCCAAAGTGCTGGGATTACAGGCATGAGCCACCGCGCCCAGCCTATTTTTGCAACTATTATAAAAGGGGCTGAGTTCTTGGTTTGATTCTCAGTGTGGTCATTCTTAGGGTATAACAAAGAGTACTGATTTGTGTACACTGTCTCTTAAAACTTTGCTAAATTCACATATTAGTTTCTAGGAGCTTTTCGGTGGCATCTTTGGGGTTTTCTAAGTATATGATCATATCATCAGGAAACAGTAACAGTTTGGCTTCCTGTTTACTGATCTGGATACCATTTCTTTCTTTCTCTTGTGTGATTGTTATGGCTACATCTTCCAGTACTATGCTGAATAGAAGTGGTGAGACTGGGGCATACTTGTGTTGTTCCAGTTCTCACGGGGAATGCTTTCAACTTTTCCCTGTTCAGTATTATGTCGGCCATGGGTTTGTCAAAGAGGTTTTTATTACACTGAGGTATGACCCTTGTATGCCAATTTTGCTAAGGGTTTTAATCATAAAAGGATGCTGGATTTTGTCAAACGCTTTTTCTGTGTCTATTGAGATGATCATGTGATTTTTGTTTCGAATTCTGTTTATATAGTGTATCACATTTATTGACTTGTGTATGTTAAACCATCCCTGGATCACTGGTATGAAACCCATTTCATCATGGTGGATTATCTTTTTGATATGCTGTTGGGAATGACAAAACATTGATGAATGAAATGATGGACACAAAGGAATGGAAGACATCTCCTGCTCATAAATAGGTAGTATGAATATTGTAAAAATGACCATATTGCCAAAAGCAATCTACAAATTCAATAAAATTCCCATCAAAACACCATTATCCTTCTTCACAGAACCAAAAAAATAACAAATAAAAAAATCCTCAAACTCATATGGTACCAAACAAGATTCCACATAGCCAGAACAAAATTAAGCAAAACAACAAATCTGGAGGCATCAATCACACTCCCTAATTTCACACTATACTATAAAGCCATAGTAACCAAAACAGCATAGAACTGGTATAAAAACAGGCATACAGACCAATGAAACAGAACAAAGAACCTGGAAATAAACCCAAATATCTATAGCCAAATGATCTTCAACAAAGCCAACTAACACATAAAGTAAAGAAAGTAAACCCTATTCACCAAATGATGCTGGGATAATTGGCAAGCTACATGCAGGAGAATGAAACTGGATCCTCAACTACTGCCTTACACAAAAATCAATTCAAGATGGATCAAGCACATAAATCTATGCCTGAAACTACAAAAATTCTAGAAGACAACATTGGAAAACCCTTCTAGACACAGGCTTAGGCAAAGACTTCATGAGCAAGAACCCAAAAGGAAATGCAACAAAAACAAACAGGTAAGAGTTAATTGAAGATTTTCTGTACAGAAAAAGAAACAATCAGCAGAGTAAACAGACAACCCACAGAGTGGGAGAAAGTTTACACGCTTCATAATATCTGACAAAGAGCTATTATACAGAATCTACAAGGAACTCAAACAAATTACAATTTACAAATTACAATTACAAAAATATGGAACCAGCCCAAATGCCCATCAGTCAATGAGTGGATAAAGAAACTGTGATATACATACGTGTGTGTGTGTGTGTGTGTGTGTGTGTGTGTGTGTGTGTGTAAAATGGAATACCATTCAACTATAATAAGGAGTAAATTAATGGCATTCCCAGCAACCTGGATGGAGTTGGAGACTATTATTCTAAGTGAAGTAACTCGGACATGGAAAACTAAACGTTCTATGTTCTCATTCACACATGGGAGCTAAGCTATGGGGATGCAAAGGCGTAAGAATGATACAGTGGACTTGGCGACTTTGGGGAAAGTCTGAAAAAACAGTGAAAGATAAAAGACTATAAATCAGGTTTAGTGGACACTGCTCAGGTTATGGGAGCACCAAAATCTCACAAATCATCACTAAAGAACTTACTCATGAAACCAGATACCACCTGGTCCCCTCAAAACCTATGAAAATAATAAATAAATAAATAAATAAATAAACTACAGCATTCTTCTCAGCAAACATAAATTAAATAAAATAAAAACTGAAGTTTATGTTTTCTCCCTCCTTTTTGGCAGGACAAATTTTAGGTGTGTTTTTAAATAATAATTTTTTTCTTTTTTCTGAGACAGGGTCTCACTTTGCTGTCCATGCTAGAGGGCAGTGGGGCAATTATGGTTAACTGCAGCCTCAAACTCCTGAGCTCAAGCAATCCTCTACCTCAGCCGCCTGAGTAGGTAAACTAAAGGCATATGCCACCATGCCTGGCTAACTTGTTATTTCACCTTTTTGTAGAGATGAGGTGTTGCTATGTTGACCAGGCTAGAAATAAATCTTAATTAACTTAAGTATTTCTAACACCGTGAGCATTCACGAAAACAGCTCCATCTACGTTGTGATGTAATAGGATATGGCAGTGTATAAAGTTTGAATGAAAGTATTAAACAAGGCCTTAGAAAACAACTGTAATATGCTTATTATAGACACATCACTAAAAAACTGTCTGGGTTAATATCATTAATGATATTGAAATTAAACTTTGATTTACACTTAAATATAGGTCCTAAATTTGGATTAAATACAATAGATGGATCACAAATTTATGTCCTCTCTCTGGAAATCTCATTAGTCAGAAAATAAAGGTTACACACAGGACCACGAGAGAAGGTTGACAGAGATAATTTTTAATAAATGCTGAGACTTAAAAAGTAGATAAAGGAGTCATAAATAACACAGAAGCACAACTCTGGTGCCTACAGAAAGTGACTGGAGACCTAGACAAGGCGGCTCACACCTATAATCCTACCACTTTGGCAGACCGAGGTGGGTGGGTCACGAGGTCAGGAGTTCAAGACCAGCCTGGCAAAGATGGTGAAACACTATCTCTACTAAAAATACAAAAATCAGCCGGGTGTGGTGGCAGGTACCTGCAATCCCAGCTACTCAGGGAGCTGAGGCAGAGAACTGCTTGAACCTGGGAGGATGAGGTTGCAGTGCACTGAGATCTCACCACTGCAGTCCAGCCCAGGCGACAAACCAAGACTCTGTCTCAAAAAAAAAAAAAGAAAGAAAGAAAGAAAAGGAAAAAGAAAGTGAATGGAACAGAAGTGAGCAGTAGTTTGTCTTGCAGAACTAAAGGCAGGCTATGAACTTAAGAGGCAAACAGCACTTCAAAAAGTAGTGCAAAATGTAAAACAAAAGCCTACAAGGTCAGCTGAAAATCTGCAGTTAGAGACCCAAGTCCACCTGTCCTCCCATCTGATAACAAACTTAGATATATGTTCCCTGGATATACCAAACCTGAGAATTTCTGGTTCACAGCTACCGTGGCTTAAACCTGAGATATAAAGAAAACTGTATACCAAAAATAGAACTCCAATTTTCTTTCCCAACTCTGCTTTTGGAAAGCAAGTAGCCAGGCAGAAACTTGGGAGATCCTTCTCAAGAAACTGAACTGTCTCAAATAAAGATCCCCAGATAATACACTGCGGTCCCCCAAATGAAAAGCTAGTTTGGCTTCCAAAACCTCACACTGAGTGCCATCAGTTAATACAAGTCCTGCTTCCAAATAAAGCAAGCAAGCCAGGGACCACCACACATTGGCTAAAAGCCTCCAACAAGCGATCGAAACAACACAAAAAAGGGAATTCAGGGGACCAGTCAAAATCAGGAGCAAAACTTTAAAAAAAAAATTAAAACTCTCAAAAAATACATAAAATTCAATAGATATAGTAGAGGACAAACTCAAAGGATATCCCAGAAGTAGAATAAAAAGACAAACTGAAAAAAATAGAAGGGGAAAAATTGGAAACCAGTGCAGGTCTACTGGTCTAAGCAGTCTAGCGTCTGAGTAACAAGACTATCAGAAAAAAGTAACAGGGAAAATAAAAAACATTCTCAAAAAGAGTCTGCAGACTTAGTAGCCTCAATAAAATGAAAAGATCCCCACCAAGCTCTTACGTTGAAATTTCAAAACCTCAGAGAGAGAAAAGCTCCTAAAAAGTTTGCAGAGATACATAAAACCCGGTTATAAGCAACATGTCATGCAAGGGCAATAGATTCAACAACAACACTGTGATGAGAGCACAATTGCAGAATATCTTCAGAACCTTACGATTTAGATTCAGCCTAGAAGTTTGCTCTCTATCAAGGCGGAAGGATTTTAAGACTGGTCAGATCTAAACATCTCCGCCCAGGAAAATGTGCAACTAGAGAGGGTAACAGGACAGAAGGAAACATAAAATCTAGGACTCAGGCGATCCCACACAGGCGGCAGTTATGTGAGATCCCAAAAGACTTTAAAGAGATAGCACAGAAAAGCAGACAGCCAGCGTATCTAGGGAAAGCCACTCTATACTGAACTAGTAAGAAAAAAGGCCAAAGAATGTTGCCTACCAATTGCCAAAAAGAAAAAGAGGAACAGATATGATTTAGCAGATGGAGAATATCTTTGAAAGGAATGTGATAAATGCTACAACACTGGGCTGGAGGGAGGGGGAACAGCTGTTAGAAAACAGGCAAATGAATACAGTCAGAAAATTAGCTTCATGCTAAAAAATAATGGATGTGAAATGTAAATTATATGTAAAATATAATTTAGCAATAATTATTAAAATCATTTTTCAATAAAGTGACAGACCACCCAGAGGCTACTTACTGCATTTGGCTGGATAAACCAGCATAGGCTAGGAAAAAAGAGATTATTTAGAAGAAGTGCAGAAGTGCTCAGATTTCAGAACTGTCTCAGAGAAAGGATGAAGGAATATGTAATGCAGAGACACAGCGAAAACACCATATGACTTAGCAGTGAACAATATTAGCATAGTCATAATCATGTCAATATTACTGATTTAATTCAAAAGTGTGCTACAATTGAAAGAAGCAGAGGGAGAAAAATAAGGTCATGGTGTAGCGGGGAAGGTATGCTTCCACCTGCTGTGACAGAAAGTCAACAGACCGTGCTGACAATTAACTTAGCTCTTCTATTTTTGCTATTTCATTAAGAATAAGATTAACTGTTTAAAGCAGATCTTTATACCACAACCAGATTATTAAAATTTAACTTAAATGTCAGCAATCCTTAAAAGGTGGGCATACTGAGCTGAAGACTTTTCTGGATAAATTTGACAGGAAAGTAGAAAAGATTCAGAAAATCCACAAAACAAGGTCCATGCTATCACCACTGCGTCCCCATTATCATTTAAAGGAATCAAGAGAGACACACTTTTACATCAAACTATCAATTGCTCAACTTTTTGACTGTTTACTTACATGGTTTGCAGAGTCACTTTCTCTTATTTCTTGTACTAAGAATGAAAGAAAAAAATCGTCACTGCTGACACAAATAATATAAAAAGTAGTTGTTAACATCTTACTGACTACTCCTTTCTACAATGAGAAAAAACTCCATGCAAAAAAAAATTAATTTCAATAATTTATAATTTAAACCATCTGGCATGATAAATCTCATAAAGTAAAATCTGAAAGCTTACATTTACTTTTTGACCTAGTTTACTTTTAGTTATTTTACATACGAAGGAAATAATACTGATGTACAAAAGAAGAGGGCAAAAAAATTAGGCCAGATGAAAAATTTAGCTGATCGAAAAGTTTAACTGTTGCATCTATGAGCCATGATCTGTTAGTATTCTCCTATTCTGCATTTACACATAGCTTAATTACCAGAATCTAAGAGCTAACAGCTCTAAGAACTACTTCCTGGCCAGGCACCCATCTCTAGATGCACCAGAATCCCTGTAAGCATCTCCAACCACACTTAGTGGTCATCTACTAACATGTCACTACAAACAAAACAAAAACAGGTCTTTATACAAGGGAAAAGTAACCTATCTTAAATTTAATCTTTTGTTTATTGTGTCTTTTTTGAGAAGGAGTCTCATTCTGTCAACCAGGCTGGAGTGCAATGGTGTGACCTCGGCTCACTGCAACCTCTGCCTCCAGGGTTCAAATGATTCTCCTGCCTCAGACTCCCAAGTAGCTGGGATTACAGGCGCACCCCACCATGCCCAGCTAGTTTTTGTATTTTCAGTAGAGAGGGTTTCACCATGTTGGTCAGACTGGTCTCAAACTCCTGACCTCATGATCCACCCACCTCCGCCTCCCAAAGTGCTGGAATCACAGGTGTGAGCCACTGCGTCCAGCCAAATTTAAATCTTAAAATAAGTAACAAACCTAATTGGACATGGTGTCTGCAGCAAAAAAAAAAAAAAAAAAAAAAAAGGCCAGAATAATAAAAGCTCCAAGAGGGACTGGGACCATGCTTTGTTTCCTACACGGCCTCTGCCTTTAATGCTGGAAGGGCCTTGTAGGCAAACATTCCTATCACTGAAGAGTGAGGGACATGGAATAGCTTTTCTTTTTTCTGCTTCCATGCTCTCTAGGTGTGAGAAGCCCATGGCTCTGGAAGGAACTGGGAAATACAACTCTGAAATGGTTTGGATATGTCTCCCTCTCTAAATCTCATGTTAAAATGGGACCTTTAACGTTGGAGACAGGGCCTAGTGGGAGGTGTCTGGGTAATAGCAATGGATTCCTTATGAATGGCTTGGTACCATCCCCGTGGTAATAAGCAAATTTTCATTCTGGTATTAAACCAATATGAGTTTTTCTTTTCTTTTCTTTGTTTGCAGAAAAGTGATCCATTATTTAGAGAGAGAAAAACAGGAGAAGAGAGAAAGCTTCCACGAGAGAGAGTGGGTGGAGTGGGACCCCAAAGGGGAAATTCAGGAGGGGAAAGAGAGCTCCCACTATGTGAACCAGTATGAGCTTTTCTAAATACTTTCTATAATTCATCTGATCAAACAAGAGTTTTCACTCTCTTTGCTTGGCAGAGAAAACAATGGTGACCCACTGTCTGTTTGAGATGTCTTTGCTTCTGGATGGTCAGAAGGGTTTGACTCCAAAGCCAAATCTATACAGAGAGAAAAGAAAAAAGATGTGATCACTTATGACAATTTATCAACTCATTTATTCGGCCAGGAGGCCATTTCACTACCTCTTTTATGCTTGCCCATTGGGAAAAGGGACAAAGAATTATACATAAAGATAAATCTAAGACTCCTCCATCACATGACAAATTGTATTAATTAAAAGATGGCAAAATGTATAAACAAAAAGTTAACATGTTTTCACTAATATGGTAACAAGTAAAGGAAAGTATATCATGTTAAAATAACACAAGTGAATATGTGAAAATTTAGAACATTTAAACCAATATGAGTTTTCCTAAATACTTTCTATAATTCATCTGATCAAACAAGAGTTTTCACTCTTTTTCTTGGTGGAAAAAACGATGTTGGCTCACCATCTGTTTCAGTTTTCTTTGCTTCTGGGTGGTCAGAAGGGTTGGACTCCAAAGCCGTATCAATACCGTCTGTTTGAGATTTCTTTGCTTCCAAATGGTCAGAAGGGTTGGACTTCAAATCTATACAGAGAGAAAAGAAAAAATATGTGATCACTTATAACAATTTATCAACTCGTTTATTTGAAGAGGAGGCCATTTCACTACCCCTACTCTTACCTTTATCTATTGAAATGAATGTATAGACATAAGATGGTGCCAGGCAAGGTGGCGCATGCCTGTAGTCCCAGCTACTCAGGAGGCTGAGATGGGAAAATTCCTCAAACCCAAGGTCAGGAATTTGAGGGCAACATGAGTAACATAGTGAGACCCTCCTTTATTAAAAAAAAAAAAAAAGAGGTAAATGTTCCCTTTGAGCTGTGTAAAATCAACTTTGTGTAAAATAAATCAAGATGGCAATACATTTTAAAACACGGGCCTATTTTATAGGCAAAATATAAAACATATTCCGGAGTTTGAAAAATTTAAAAAGAAGTGAATTCAGCATATTAGTCACTTCCATGTCATTCTGAAGACACAGGACCTTAGTTCTATTGGTGACTGTCTTCCAATAGTCACGTGAGATCTCTGTCTTCATTTCTTCACTAGCAACACATACAGAGAACATGCACAAGACTTCTTTGTATTGGAAGGAGCCAAATGAGACATATACAAACTCTGTTGTAACCCTAAAGAATGACAATAAAGAGCCTTTTTTGGGCTTTCATTCATCTACGAACTGATGTGTAAAATCACTCACAGACTTTCCTTACACCAGCAACCAGATTATAAGTATACACAACTACTTACACATTTTGTGTATAAAGGTATACTCAATTCACATATTTATTCTAAATTCTTAAACATCTTCAAAAGTGAGTATAATACTCCCAAGTTACAAAGTCACACTTATCATGAGTCTTCATTATTCTACCTCTGAAAAAAACTAAGAGCTGAACTAAAGTTGTTTTTTTTAAGTTCTGAGATACATGTGCAGAACATGCAGGTTTGTTACATTCGTATACCTGTGCCATGGTGGTTTGCTGTACATATAAACGTATCATTGAGGTTTCAAACCCCACATGCATTAGGTATTTGTCCTAATGTTCTCTGTCCCCTGACCCCCATCCCACAACAGGCCCCACTGTGTGATGTTCCCCTCCCTGTGTCCATGTGTTCTCATTGTTCAACTCCCACTTATGAGTGAGAACTTGCGATGTCTGCTTTTTGTTCCTGTGTTAGTTTGCTGAGAATGATGGCTTCCAGCTTCTTAGGCTTTACTTTCTTATCTTTGAACAAGATGCTATTGTCAGGTGGGGGAAGAACAAAGGGGCACCAGTGGCAACAAACACCCTTACATAGGCAAGGTCTGGCATTTTAACATGCGATCTTTACATTACACGTTAAAAGACATTTCATGTCTTTTGAAAGTTTTCTGACCCTGAACCATCTCTACCTTTCTTTCACAGCAAGGAAGTAAATAAAGTCTCGTAAGTCACCAGAATAAATCTAGAGACACATTTTGTGTTAAAGTAAGAATTTTAAAGTAATCAGAGCCTCATGGGTAAACTCCTTTGGGGGAAAAAAACACTGGATTTTTCTGCAGCCCCGGCCGAGACATTTCACACCTTTCACAATTATTGTAAGAACCCTCCATTTTCTTTCCTTTTGTGTTCAAATTACAGTTAGAAGGACATAAGCACCTATCAAGGTGACTTAAAGCCACCCATTAAGAATATCCTGTCATCTCTCCCTGGCAAACTTCATTCTGATTTCAAAGTAGAAATCCCCAAATAGTTCAGTATGAATTGTCCTGAGATTTAGCTACTTTAACAGAGGACACAATTAGGCACGTACCTGGTTCCTTCACTTAGGTACCATCTGGATAGGCACACAAAAAGAATGCGATGGCTACTGGAAAGTCGGGATATTTGAGTTTTTATTGAAAAAAGGAACAGAATATTCCAAAGAAGCCTCAACAAAGTCCCACAGAATAATAAACAGAGCTACAGACAAGAAGAGCCATAAATAAATGATCCCAGGCGAGCCTGAGAGAATGAGATGAGGGAGCAAGAACTGGGCGATTGGGAGGGGAGGAGACAAGAAACTGCCTGGACTCTGTGGAGAGAGACTAAGAGACTAAGAGGGGGGTGGGAAGGCGGGGCAGAGCCAGCCTTTGTTTCTGACCAGCCCTGGGAAAGCTGGCTACGGGCAAAAAGGAGCCTGAGGTGGGCGATACCCCCTAGGAGACCTCGGGGGCAGCAGCAGCCAGAGGTGTGGCCAGGGCAGAAGCCACTGTCACTTCCTTACCTTCAGGCATCTCCTGGTCACAGATCTGGCGCACATGAAGGCCATCACCAGCTTCAAAAGTCAGCTCGGCAGGCTCTGCAGCAGCAGCCATGGGCGCTGCTGCTACCGTGTCCTCAGCTGCGGCCTCACAGATTTCGGACTCAGCAGGACACTCTGACCCCTGGTGTTGGTCCAACTCAGGGCTGACCCTGGGGCTCACACAACAACACATCAGTATGTTCCCCATGGGGCGCCCCTACTCCTGTCTGCCGCCGCCTGTGCCTCTGCTCACAGCGTTGGCCACGCGATCCCGCTGCCCAAGGCGAGGCTACGCTGCACTTGCAGAGATGGTCTTGCTGCTGCTCGCCTGGCTACCCCACAGCCCGGCCCCGGCCGGCCAGGGCTCGGGCCGAGGCCCGCACCCTGCCCCCTCCCTTGAGTTGACTTGTCTGGGAGGGTGAAGAATAACAGGCTAATTTAATAGGTTGTGAATCCAAAAAGTGCTGAGAGACACAACAACTGCCTATAGAGAGTACAGAATGAGCTTCTCCTCCTCCTGTAGTCACCTACAGACTGAAGCCCAGTGGCCCAGGTGGAAGCTCAGGCATGTGACTCACAATGCCCTGCCCCACACCTCACAATGCCCCACCCTGGCTGCCCGCCCCTCCCCCGCTGCCTGGGTGCCCCACCCTGTGGCTTATGATGTGGTTGCTCTCCTGGCCCCTCCTGCAGTGCCAGTGGGACTAAAGTTTTCATTCATCGACAGCTTCCTGAGCTTTTTAGTCCCAAGAAAAGCACAGAGTGGTTTGTTACTGAAAGCCATCTTCCACTATGAGTTCTGTACATAGTCTCAGTCAGCACAGTGGGTCCCATTAGCAACAAAGTTGAACTTTATTTGCTGACTGAATGTAGATACACCTGAACTGTTCACTGCTTTTTTAATGAAATATTCCTCTCCTGTTTTCCAATGAGTGGTAGTTTTTGTCTGCAGCTTGAACACAGCAATCCCTGGGCCCTAGCTCTACTCTCACTAAAGAGTTATGACTATATGTCTTGAATGACACCTTAGGACCCATCCTGCCTCCACCTCCTTCTCCATAAAATAGAAACCGAATTTGTCCCTCCAAGCTCTGAAATGCTGGAACTTACCAACTGCCTATTCTCCCCTCTGTTTCTTCCTTCCGTGGCAGCAACTTTCAGATTTTCTCTCGTTTACTAACAAAGTACTAAGCACAATTTTGTTATTCAAAATCAGGAGCTGCAAAGTGAGTGACTACAGTCCTAACTCAATAAAAATAAACACTCAACATCTGGCAAGCAGTATGTGCCTGACAGTGTTCCAAGTGGGCTATGCTCATTTAACCCTCAGAAACAACCTCACAGGTTTTGGAGAAGACATTAAGATTAAGAAGGTAAGTCATCTCCCCAATGGCCACATGACTGCTCAGGCTGGGGCCATGATTTGATCCCAGGTAGTATGAATTCCATAATTCCTCAAGTATGATTATCAGAAAGTGTACTGTTCCATTTTCACACTACTGTAAAGAAATACCTGAGGTTGGGTCATTTAGAAAGGAAATAAGTTTAATTGACTCACATTCCACATGGCTGTGGAGGCCAAAGGGAAACTGACATAGTAGAAGGGGAAGCAGTTACTTCTGACATGGCAGCAGGCCACAGAGTGTGTGCATGTGAAGGAGCAACTGTCAAACATGTATAAAACCATCAAATCTCATGAGAACTCACTCGCTATCACAAGAACAGCACGGGGGAAACAGCCCCCATGATCCAATTACCTCCCACTGAGTCCCTCCCTCACCACACAGGAATTATGGGGATTACAATTCGAGATGAGATTTGGGTGGGGACATGGCCAAACCATATCAGAAAGTACAGGTAGAAGTCAAGCTTGGAAGGGAAGTGACACTATAGATCAGCATACTGTTTTTAAAAACAACTTTTTTTTAAAATGTGGATTTTAAAATGCCTCCTGTTGATCCAACACTGATGAAGTCCCTTCTATATGTGAGACACCGTATGTGTGAAACAGTCCCAAATCTCAGTGAGTGTAGGCAGATACACAAACAAAGGCTTAAGAAGTTCAGTTTTCTGAGACCACATTACTGGACAGTGTATGAACCTGAGACTGAAACCCACCTCTATTTGACCCCAAATGCTGGGGTGGTTTAAATTTTATTCTGAAAATTTGAGTCATTGAGCCATAAAAAGGTGAGGAGTCTCTGTCAGATATGTGTGCAGTGGTCTGTCTAAGAAGGAAGGACTGAAGGAAGGAACAAGACCAATCAAGAGACTACCTAAAGGAAGAGTAATGCTAAAGGCAGTGGCAGTGACAAAAGTGGAGGAAAGACCGATCACACGGAGTTACCGACCGGACGGTCCCGCGAACGGTGAGAGGCCCGCGGGGAATAAGCGTGGGGACCGAGGAAACCCTAGAACCATGTTTCTCAAACTTGCCTACCATGAAGTTGCAGTGTTCGCGGCTGCTCTCAGAGCTTTGAAATGCTGCCCAAGGATGACAAGAAAAAGAAAGACGCTGGAAAGTTGGCCAAGGAAGACAAAGACTCAATGAACAAATCTGGGGTAAGGCCAAGAAGAAGTGGTCCAAAGGAAAGTTCGCGACAAGCTCAATAACTTAGCCTTGTTTGACAACGCTACCTATGACAAACTCTGTAAGGAAGTTACCAACTATAAACTTAAAACCCCAGCTGTGGTTTCTGAGAGACTGAAGATTTGAGGCTCCCTGGCCAGGGCAGCCCTGCAGGAGCTCCTTAGCAAAAGACTTAACAAACTGGTTTCAAAGCACAGAGATCAAGTAATTTATACCGAAAATACCAAGGGTGGAGATGCTCCAGCTGCTGGTGAAGATGCATGGATAGGTCCAAACTACATTTGGAAAAATAAAACTATTAAATCCAAAAAAATGTTGCATATCTATATATGAAACACTGCACTACCACTTAAAAAAATTAATGTCCTTTGCAGCAACATGGATGCAGCTGGAGGCCATTATCCTAAGCAAATTAATGCAGGAACAGAAAATCAGATTACTCCATGTTCTCATTTATTAGTGGGAGCTAAACATTCAGTACCCATGAACACAAAGAGGGGACCAACAGATGTTCGGGCCTACTTGAGGGGGGACGGTGGGAGGAGGGAGAAGGTCCTAAAACTACCTATTGGATACTATGCTCACTACCTAGGTGACAAAATCATTTGTAAACCAAACTCCAGCAACATACAACTTACCCATTTAACAAACCTGCACATGTGCCCCTAAATCTAAAATGAAAAATTTAAAAATAAAAAGAAAAATGAATAAATAAAAATAAAGAGGTTGGGTGCAAAAAAAAAATGGAGGAAAAAACTTTGTGATTATTTGGGAGACAGAATGGGAAGTGCTTGGTCATGAGATGTGAAAGTGGTAAAGTAGTGGGAAAAATGGGGCTGCTCAGGCTCTGCTGGGGAAGACTGGGTATAGAGTTGTACCTTTCTCCTGGCAGAGAATGTAGGAAGAGAAATAGGTAAGGAGGAAAAGATCATTTTTTACTCTCAGTGTCACATTAAAATAAAACTCTCTGGTCAAAGTTGACTTTAAATCTCTGTAGGCTAAGACCATTTGTGACATCCCAACATATGTTTCCAAAAATAACACACACAGTAAATCAAACCATTAAGAGTAACTGGGGAAATTTCCTAAAATTTACATGCTAAGAATATCACCATTTTTTATATTACTTTTATGGAGTAACTCTGAATCTATGGTTATAGCGAATGAGGAAATCTTACATAAAATAAAGCTAACATTTTAAATTTAAAATTCGATTGTCCTTAGAGAATAGAGAAAGCAACTGAAGCTGTGGGCGTGGAAGCAATTGCCTTGAGAAGTTCTATATAGCAAGGAGAACTTGAAAGAAAGAAGATCTGGAGAATAGGGTGATTTACACGGCATTAAGTAAAGCTTGCAAAAGTGAGCACCCGGAGTCAAGAGACCTGCATATGAATCAGGATCGGCTGCTCCTGTGAGTCATTAGACAGGAGATGATGCCTGATTTCATTTCTGAAACAGCAGCACCTAGCACACTGCCTGATCAATAGCTACTTAATATTATCCCAATGCACAGAGTCAAATTTTGCTAGGAAGACAGGAAAGCTACAAGTCAGCTATGGCAACTTAGTGATTGGGCTTGCGCAAGGGAGTGAGTGATCTGGACGTCAGGCAGTGGGTAAAGTAGTGAACTGGAGGTGAGAAAACAGTGACACAAACTTAGGGCTTCTCTTCCCAAGTATTCGGCTGAGAATAGAGATGTAGTAGTTAAAGGGAGATACTGTGGTAAAGAAAGCCTTTTATTCCAAGATTCAACAAATGTGTGAGAATAATTATATGTTAAACAGGAAGAGTCAACAGAGAAAACACATTATTGAGGTTAGAAGAGAAGGAAGAACAAATGCACAAGGGCCCCCAAAAGGCACAGATGCGTGCAATCTGGATCAGGAAGAGATTAGCTTTGGCATTCGGCAAAAGCAAGAAGGGAGAAAGGGCCATGTGACTCCAAAGGTATTTCTGGTAGAGGAAAGGTTTAGGAAGAGATCTTTTGATGACCTTTATTGTAACAGAGTTTAAAAAAAAAAACCATGAGAGAAAAAGAATATTATATATAGAAGTCTACACTTCTTGATACACCTAACAACCAAAAAAAGCTTGATACACTAATAGATTCCCTAAACGTGGGTAACTTGAAAAGCAATTTAAGCAAAAATCACAGAATCCAATTATAAATAAGTATATCTAGAAAGTGAAAAATGGGCTTAATTTTTCCCACAAAGAGTTAAGAGAAATAGCAACAATTTTAGGGGAAAGGGAAAAAATAATTGAGAAGAAAATTATATGCAATCATAAAATATATGAATATTTACAAACTCTATCATAAGTAATTACAAAAATGACCAGAAGAATCATTATCATAAGCAAAGGGTCATTTCAAAAACATGGGGAGAAATGATTCCTATTTAATTTAATTCCACTGAAAATATTTCAGTGAAGTTTGAGGACAAGAATAGGTAATATGTTGAAATGTGAGAACCCACAGTGGAAGGAAAAAGAATCCAAGAAAGCTCAGTTTTAGTAACCAACATCAAATACAATCCTCAGGACCTAGTGGCTACAATCTGCTGCTAATAGTGTCTGAACACCTGGAAGTGTCATTAGATATCATTGTGGATGATTCTTGTAGACTTGAGATGGTGTCTATTTAAAGTTACAAAATAGTGCCTGCATTTAACGACAGACACACTCAAAAACAGATATCCATGACTTTAAAAATGGAAGAATTTTGAACTTTCTAAACAGGAAAATATTGGGAAGCACTGCTATGAAAATAGATTTTAAAACATTTTTATTGAAGGCAATATTGAAGTAAGTTAAGAAAAAATCCTATCCTCCCATGACTTTGGCAAGTCTGAGAGAGCAAAGAGAAACAAATTAGAGTAGGGTCATTTGAATTAATCAGGAGTTTGAGTCTGTGAAATGAGCTGAGACCTTGTTTATTTTTGACTCCAGAGTAAACTAATACATCCATTCATTCAATACCCATTTAATACCTGAGCCCTTAGCAAAGACGCCATATACTGTGTGTAAGTGCTGGGATATTGATTGGACCAACATAAACAAGGTTATTAGTCTTGTGAAATTTATCTTCCAGTAAGGGAGTTAACATCCAACCCTGCAAATTCAAGGGTCCACACATGGCCAAGATCATGTCGGGGTGCACAGAACCCCTCCTCTGATCTGCAGACAAATGTGCCCTATCTTCTGGCCCTCTACCAGCAAGTGAAGACCCTAGAAATTTCCAGACACACAACAGTGTTCTAAACTGCAGGCTGCTGTCCCATCCGATGGCAGAGTAGACCTTTTCTTCACCAGACTTGGCCTGTTATCCTGTTAAATGAAATGTCTTTTTTACACAGAAACAGAGCACAGAAACTAGCGTCCTTTGGCCCTGATCCCATCACATGGTTTGTAGGTACACACCAGGTCCGAACAAGTAACACAAAATTGAGGCCTCAGGCCCTAGAGTGTGCACATCGGCTCTGCTTTCAGAAAACATCAAGGTACTTTTGGCAAGTCTGCAGACTTTATGCAGAAAAACAAAAACAAAGACATAAACAAGTGATGAGGGCAAACACGCGTGCGCATACACACAAACACACACACCCCATAGTGACTAACAGAATCTCCCTCCAGGGGATTTGCAGACAAGGGAGCAGAAAACATCCCAGGGGCCTTTCACAGCTACTTCCTGGAGCCCCTTTTCAGACTGTGCTCTCTAGACCTGTCTCAGCCCAAGCACCACCGCCCTGATATGCAGGAGCTAGATTCCTTACCTGAAATTCAACATCAAGAAACAATCTCTTTTACTTAAAACTGATAGGACTGTCCTCAAGCAACAACTTTGTTGGCAGGGGTGAAGTTGGGGAGTTTCTTAAAATGTGAGGCCTCTGTCTACCACCTAGAGAACCTGGAAATTTCCACCTATGCCATGAAGTCCAAATCACTGGCCACTGCCCCAGTGTATGGCAGCGTATAGCCGATTAGACAGACCATCTCTCCGTCTCATAACATCAAAAAGACACAACCAGTCTTTATATGACTCCCTAATAAAAAAAAAACCACCACCACCTGGGAAGAAGCTTTGCTGAAAAATAAAAAATCAAAATCAAATCTTATCCAGCTGCAGGCTGGGCAGTGGTGGCTCACGCCTGTAATCCAAGCACTTTGGAGGCCAAGACGGGTGGATCACCTGAGGTCAGGAGTTCAAGACCAGCCTGACAAACATGGTGAAACCTACGTCTTTAAAAAAAAAAAAAAAAAAAAATTCTTATCCAGCTGCTAGATGTTTTGTCCATCAGGAAATT